CAATCAGAATTTAGCAGCCTCGTCTCTGATTGGCTGGAATTATGGCATATTGTAACGCTGGGTTGTGTTGAGCATGCGAGCTGTTGGCATTTAGAGAGCACTGAGGGCGGGCATCAGGTGAGCAAGCCAGTGAAACGTTGCACGCGCAAAAGAGAAGTTCTGCACACATCCAAAAACGTATTTTAAATGCAAAATTGATTTCCGTGCGCTCGAAAGACCTTTTTCTTTGCGAAACGAACATTTTCTCCACAAACTCAGATCGCGCGCGTGCAAAATGCACTTTTGTGCGCTCAAAATATGATCTTTCGCGCGCAGAATTGTGGCAGAAATGTAAGCCCATACCTGATCCACTGAACTGTACTAACCGCAAAACAATGGCATACACGGATAATGACTGATAAAACTGTTTTTACTAGCGGACAACTACAGTGAATACTTTAACATTCATTAAAGTTACTTACTTGATGTTGTGTCCTAAAATGCCTTGAAGACTCGAATGCAGCCGTTTGTGATTGTTAATTCGCGCCCGCGAGCATACGCGTGTGAAGTGCAGATGCAGCTGCGGGAGAGGTGCGTCTGACTCCGGGCTACTTTTACACTGTTGCCACGGGTTATAATGCAAGATAGCGGTTCTAAATTCACATTAAACCACAGCTTCATGGGTTTTTTGCTCTGATTTATTTTTGGTTTTGTGCTGGTATTGGTATATTTTGCATGCTAGTGATAGGAATCGATCCCTTTACGTGATTGGTTATTGGTTTGTGACGTAGCAAACCAAGGGCTGTTTCAAAGCATATCTCTGGATCAGCCTTTGGGAAACTACAGTTTTAAGGAGAAAATACACAGCAATGGTGTTGATTAATAAATTGGCACATGGTTTGTCTAAAAGCATATTAAAAACACCACATAGGCAAATAAACAACATAAAAAACCTTGATTTTCACTACAGGGGGACTTTAAAACTTAGCAAACATAATAAATATGTGAATTTAAAGGGTCAGTTATTTATTAACAACACTTATTTTTTATGTCCACGACAGATTTAATTCCTGTGATATCAAAGAACTTTGTGAACCCAGACACCATCTTTGCTAATAATCAGATGAGTCTGCAAGACATTGAGATCTATGGCTTTGACTATGATTACACACTGGCCTTCTACTCCAGTCACCTTCACACACTCATATTCAACATCGCCCGAGACATCCTCATCCACGAGCACAGGGTGAGTGACCCAAGACTTCATTTATGTATATATAATATTGTTACATTTTGTAAGAATTGCTAAGTGGCACAGAAATTACACACTTAGTTTCAGCAAATCAATGTTTTCTGAATCTCTTGCCTCTTTCTGTCCACATAACAGTATCCAGAGGGACTGAGGGAATATGATTATATACCGAATTTTGTGATTCGTGGTCTGCACTATGATGTTCAAAAGGTACGTGTCCAGTCCTGATCTACTGTAGATGAAAATTTTATAAGTAACCTGGCTAACCTGTCAATCTCATCTGGTTACTAGGCCTTACTGATGAAGATTGATGCCTTTCATTATATCCAGCTGGGTACAGTGTACAGGTAGAGTGCAACAAACATCTACTATGATGTTTTTACTATTTTTATACATTATTATTAAAGGGATAGTTCACCCGAAAATGAAAATTCTGTCATTAATTACTCACCCTCATGTCGTTCCAAACCCATAAGACCTTAATTTATCTTTAAAACACAAATTAAGATATTTTTGATGAAATCCGAGAGATTTCTGACCCTCCCATAGACAGCAATGCAACTACCACGTTCCCACACAGCATCTCCACGACATGGCGGCGGCAGCAACAATACTACAGCGAGAATCAAAGTTAAACCTTCTTTTTTTGCATATACATTTGGGTGGTGTTATGCAAATGTTCCCACACAGTGACGTAGACATGTGAGGTAAGATATTTTTTATGAAATCTGAGAGCTTTCTGACCCTCCCATAGACAGCAATGCAACTAACATTTTCAAGGCCCAGAAAGGTAGTAAAGAGATCATTAAAATAGTCCATGTGACATCAGTGGTCCAACCGTAATGTTATGAAGCTACGAGAATACTTTTTGTGTGCAAAAAGTAATTTGTAATTTGTGTTCTGAAGATGAACTAAGGCCTTACGGGTTTGGAACGACATGAGGGCGAGTAAATAATAACAGAATTTTAAAGGGGTCATATGACGTTGCTAAAAAAGAACATTACTTTAGGGCTCTTATCTATTCACGAACAGCTTGTAACACTCCGAAGAGAAAGGAAAACTTGAAATCGCATCATATGACCCTATTAATTTTTCAGGTGAACTATCCCTTTAATCTCAGGATAGGTTTGCTTATTGTCATTTGAATGTTTCTGTAGGGGTCTTAATCCTGTGCCAGAAAAGGAGGTCATTGCGATGTATGAAGGCTCCCATGTACCCCTCGAGATCATGAGTGACTTCTATGGCAAGGTCTGTAATCTTGGGCTCTTTTGCTTGTCAAGAGTTTTGTTTGATATCCTAAAAATGTGCTGACATTAGCGTAATTTTGTCGAAATTTAGCGGGGAAAACAGTAGCAATGTAGCAAGCACAGCTCACACAGAAGTACAGCAGTAAATATGACCTCCTTTAACATAGCTCTTTCAACCTCTCCATACAGAGCTCTCACGGTCACACCATGAAGCAGTTCATGGATATCTTCTCCCTGCCAGAAATGACGCTGCTGTCATGTGTTAGTGACTACTTCATGAAGCACAACATTGACTACGAGCCTGTTCATCTTTATAAAGACGTCAAGGTACAGTTGTTCCTCAAAACGTGTCATGTATCAGAGCAGGACTCACCTTACGAATCAGAAATCAAGATTTCCTTCACCGATATTAGTTTCTTAGGAAACTGAGTGAGTGCTGTCGTATATAGGGTAACGCAGATGTCAGAAAGCACAGGATCTCTTGAGCACACATTTTGGATAAATATGGCTCCTGAAGGTGCTATTTAAGTTCGTAGTGAGCAGCATGGAAAGGAACAGTCTAATTTTAGAGGAACCGTTTGGATGCACCATCTGTGCCACGT